AACACTTATTATTTCTTGCCTTTTTGACAATAACCATGCTGACAAGCATGAGGCAACGTCTCATTATGGTTTTGACTTACATTGCCCTGATGATTAGTGATGTTGAGCATCTTTTCTTGTGCCTGTTGGCCACGTGTATGTCTTCTTTGGAAAAATGCCTATTCAGCTCCTCTGCCCATCTTTTAATCAAGTTGTTTTCTTTTTGGATATTGAGTTGTATGAGTTATATATATATATTTTTCTCTTGTCAAGTAGTTTTATTTATCTATTGGAGGATAATTGCTTTCCAATGTTGTGTTTCTGCTATACAACAATGTGAATCAGCTCTAAGTATACATATATCCTCTCCCTCCTGAGTCTCCCTCTCCCCCTACATCCTACCCCTGGGTCATCACAGAGCACCCAGCTGAGTTCTCTGTGCTATACAGTGGCTTCTGGCTAGCTATCTATCTTACACCTTTATATATTTTTTATATTAACCTCTTACCAGACGAATAGTTTGTAAACATCTTCTTCCATTCAGTAGGTTGTCTTCTCATTTTGTTGGTGGTTTCCTTTGCTGTGCAAAAGCTTTAAGTTTGTCGGTCCCATTTGTTTACTTTTGCTTTTGTTGTCCTTGCCTGAGGAGACAGATCAAAAAAATACTGCTAAGATCAATGTCAAAGAGCATACTGCCTATGTTCTCTTCTAGGAGTTTTATGATTTCGGGTCTTATGTTTATGCTTTTGATCCATTTTGATTTTATTTTTATATATGGTGTGAGAAAATGTTCTCATTTCCTTTACATGTAGCTGTCCAGTTTTCCTAGCACCATTTATTGACGAGACTGTCATTACCCCATTGTACATTCTTGCCTTGTTTGTCATAGGTTAACTGACCCTACGTGTGTGGGTTTATTTCTGGATAAGCCATAATTCTTAAACTTTAACAAGATATAGAAATTTTGACTTAAGCCAGAGATGAGAGGAGGGAATCTTTTTCTTTTATGGCCACGCCAAGTGGCATGAGGGATCTTAGTTCCCCGACCAGGGATCGAACTCCTGCACCCTCCAGTGGAAGCCCAGAGTCCTAATTCCTGGAGCACCAGGGAGTGAGAGGAGGGAATCTTTTTAAAGAGACACTAAATATTTATTTGTCACCACTCAATCTCATGAACTCTAATCACTGCCTGAAAATTAATCTGTCACCATGTCAGGCCTCCTAAAATGGTAAACGAAAGCAGAGTCATCTTCTATTGAACAGCACCTGTCAGAGGGTTGCCAAAACTCTGGAAAGACTTCTCAGGCAATGTTAACTGTGCAATCTACAGCTAGAGCATAGACCAGCTTCCACAAGAGATGCCAATACAACCTGAGATGTAATATTTCAAATTGCAAATACCCCCTTACTATGGAGGAATAAATTGCAGTCAACCTTTATGGACAGCAATTTTGTCGATACTAAAGTCCTTAAATAAAAGCATTTATACCCTTTCATTTAGAAATTCCACTTCTAGAATTGTATTAAAATAAATCAAAGATGTATTTTGAAAATGTGTGCAAGATGTTTATCACAGTATTATTTATAATAGCAAAGACAAGCAAAACAAACCAATGTGAAAAAATAGGGGACCCCAAAGGACTGAGTACTTTGAAGTCATTTAAGTCATTAAAGTTCTAGAAAAATCTTTAATGTCCATAATACCTTAAGGAGAAAGAAGCAGGTCACAAAGGAGCATCTTGTCCAGATTTTGAGGGATGTGTATACATTTTTTTGGCTGTGCTGAGTGGCTTGTGTGATCTTAGTTCCCTGACCAGGGATCGAACTGGAGCCCTTGGCAGTAAGAGCATGGAGCCCCAGTCACTGGACTGCCAGGGAATTCCCAAAAGTGATTTTAGAGTCTTCTTTGTGCCCATCTTATTTCCCAATTTTACAGTGCACATATCAGTTATATATATATAATATCATCAGGAATAAACACATTCTAACAAAATAGTGGTTCTGTAAGGCCCCTTTGTTCTCCTTTTCTGAACTTTTCATTTGTGTCACAAATCCCTTTGCAAATCTGAGGGAAAATGTAAATTTTCTCCCCAGAAGTGTAAATACCCATCATCGAATTTCACCGAACATTTCTGGGGATTTACCACCTCCAGGTTGATAGGTCCCAAGTTAAGAACTGCCCAGTCACAGTCTGAATGGCTTCCACCTTGTGGATTTAATCACTCCAGTGGTGTTGTGGTCTCCTCTGTCTCTCCAAGAGCATGGACATGCCCATCAGCCTCTGTGGATTCATGGACCCAAGCAGGTACTTTGAAGGTGCCCTAGGATAGCCTCTCAGGGTGACATCAACAACTGAGAGGTGTGAGTGGAGACGATCACAGTGTTCAGGATCTCGCCTGTGAAGCCAGGGTGCTAAGAGTACAGCATGCAGGCCACTTGTGTGGCTTCCTAATGAGCCCTGGTCACTTGATGGTCCTAGGCGACTGGGGACTAGGTACTCAGATGACTGCTATTTAAATGCAGCCAGCATGATCCTGAGTCTCTGAAAATTAATAGCAAGGTGTCATCGTTGAGAAACCTGACTCCATGGAGGAATAAAATGAGAGCAGAAAGTTATGACACTGGAAAAGCACAGTCACCGGGTTTCTGTCAGAAGTGAAGAGGGACATAGAGCTTCAAGCCACAATCTCACTGGACTTCAGAGGAAGATCACACACGTGGGCCTCACACACAGGCATAGGCTGAGGCTGAGGAAGCCTGTTAAGGCTAGTTTCTGCAGACTTGGAGTCAGAGCCCTTCCGAAAGCCTCTGAGGTGGCTAGCCTGCAATGATTCCATCCACCAAGACCACAAATACATGAGGTGGAGCTAAGTGGGAGGGCGTAACAATGATGATGCCCTGCTGTGGGCTTGTTAATCTGAGGAGCCTGCAGGCATCCGAGTGGAAATGACCGGCGGGCATTAGGAAATAGGGAGCGGGAGCCACTAAGTAGCCAGATGACGTGGCTGCTAAAACAAACACAGTATTAGGCTGCATTTATAGCTGTGTAGTATTTAGGCAGAGGCTGTTTGCCAGTCAGATCTTAGGTGGAGTGCGCCTCATTATATCACTAGCAGTGGGGAGGGAGTGGGCATAGTTTCAGACTGACGTTAGTAACCCAGCTCAGAACAGGTCTGGGTGTGGTGGGGGATGGGGGGTGAGCAGGATGGTAGGAGAACTGGAAGTTGTGGTATACACACTGTGAAAAACTAGATGTCATTGTTTTCCGGAAAAGGAACTCTAGGTCGAATGCTTAGTGGGTAACCGACCTGAAAATGGAAACCTCTACAGAGAAGCCGAGCGACAGTAACTGTGAACTTACAGAGTGAGGTTCCAAATTGGTATCTGTCATCATACACAGATTTACAAAAGAAATGGTTCCTGGACTCTGGGGGTCAAGGATAGGAAAGGTTTGAGAGTGGGAAGTAGAAAATAGATGAAGAGATTTGAGGTAGAGATGGGTAGTAGTTGCCGTGTCTGAGACCCCACCCACCCCCTAAAAATGAGAGTTTATATGGGGAAGGATGTATGTGGGAGGTGACGCCTTTTAACCCAAAGCCTAATAAGGAGTCCCTCTGAGCCGGTGTCCTCACTGCCTCTTGAAAGCAGAGCCTGAGAAAAGGGCTTTGCATAATTTTTTTGTCCGTGTGTATGTGAAATTGTCCCAAGGGCTTCCTTTGTAGCTCAGATGGTAAAGAATCTGCCCACAATGCAGGAGACCTGGGTTCGATCCCTGGGTCAAGAAAATCCCCTGGAGAAGGGCATGGCAACCCACTCCAGTATTCTTGCCTGGAGAATCCCATGGACAGAGAAGCCTGGTGGGCTACAGTCCATGGGGTTGCAAAGAGTCAGACACAACTGAACCACCAACACTTCCCACTTCCCCAAGGAACAGGAATGAAGGACAGGGAAGAGTGAAACAGGGAAGAAGGGAACACCGATTCAAGTTCATCATTATTGTAGGGAACTGGGGTCTCATATCACTGGGGACTTCCTGAGGAGCCTCGTAAAAAGTGCCTCAGGAATGTCTGTCTGAGTGATGGAAAAAGACAGTATTTTTAAAATTTTTATTCAGGCTCCAAGCCTGAATAGATTGAGGGTTGCACTCAGGGTGTTTGCACACATGTAGAATGTCACATGTAGAATGTTGGGTTCTCCCAGCCTCCACCCAGCCACAAAGAAGCCCAGGCCCCAGCGAGAGGTGCTAGTTCAGCTAGTTCAACATGCTGCTGCCGGGGCCCCAGGGACTGTGTTAGCTCCATAGCTGAGAAAGCTAAAGCAGGCTGGAGACTGGGGTCTCTTCCCACCCCGGACATCTAAAGGGCAAATGACAGGCTCACTGCCTTGGTGACTAAGACAGGAGAACATTGCCATGTTGGATCAGCCTATACTGTGTTGGGAGAAAGGTTGTCTGGGCATTTCCTTGGCCCTGAAAGGAGACAGCGTAAGGACAGGTTGTCTCAGACTACCCAAGAGGACTTCTGGGGTGGGGAGTAGGGAGACCTCTACTTAGAGAGAAGCTGAGAGGTACTGCCATTGCCAGGCCCATGAACACTCACGAGGAAGAGAGAATCAGTTCTAGATACCTGCCAGGCCCAGAGAGAGAACCAGGTCAAGAGACACCACTCCTCCCCCTACTCCACCCTCCCCGTGAGGAGCTGGAGGTGCGGAAGGGAAGGGGAAGTGCAAGATGGAGAAATAGAAAGGGAAGTCAGTCACACAGACTTACTGCTGGACGGTTTCAATTGGAAGCAGGCCTGAGCTGGGGGAGGGGAGAAGTTATGAAGAGTATCTTGGGCTGGATATTCTAATTATGGAAGAGAGGCTGTATTTGTTACTTTGAAGGACTCAAAGGCTCTATGTTACCTGAGCTGAAAAGTAATGGGGTCCATTGGAATATTTATCCAGTAATGGCATTTATTTATTCAGTGTGTTTGTACGAATTCTCCAGAGAAACAGAACTGATAGGATGTGGGTATATATATATACAGAGAAAAGGATTTATTAAGGAATCAGCTCATGCTATTGGGGAGCCTGACAAGTCCCAAGGTCTTGGGTCGACAAGCTGGAGACCCACAGAGCTGATAATGTAGTCCAGGCCAAGTGACAGCAGTCTCAAGACCAAGGAAGAGCCGATGTTTCAGTTCCAGTCTGAAGGCAGAAAAAAACAATGTACCAGTTCAAAGACAGTCAGGTGGGAGGCATTCCCTCTTCAGTCTATTCAGGCCTTCAACTGATTAGAAAAGGCCCACCCACACGCAGGAGGGCAATCTGCTTGGTCTACAGATTCAAATGTTAACCTGATTCAAAAACACTCTCACAGGGGAATTCCCTGGTGGTCCAGTGGTTAGGACTTGGTGCTCTCACTCACAGGGCCCAGGTTCGATCCCTGGTTGAGGAACTAAGATCCTGGAAGCTGTGCAGCATGGCTGAAAAAACAAAACAAACAAAAAATCCCAAAGCACCCTCAGACACACCCAGAATAATGTTTGATCAAATAGCTGGTCCCCTGTGGTCCAGTCAAGTTGACATAAAATAAACCGTCACATTCAGGAGATACATTTTAAAATTGTATTTATTTGGCTCCAAAGAGTCTTAGTTGCAGCACTCAGGATCTTCAGTCTTCTTTGCAGCACGTAGACTCTTTAGTTGCAGCATACAAACTCATAGTTGCAGCATGTGGGATCTAATTCCTAGAGCAGGGGTATCAAACCCAGGCCCCCTGCATCGGGAGTTTGGGGTCTTAGCCACTGGATCAGCAGGGAAGTCCCCACTGAATGGGTTTTTTAAGTGACTCAGTAAAAGTCATGTTTTCATTATATGCAAGTCAAGCATAGACAACATGCCAGTTACACCCTTAGAACTAGCTCAGGACTTCCTATGGGGCCTACTGAACCTGACTCTGATCCTTGGCTACCCTGTCCCCTTCCACCTTCCTCCTCTGTCTTGAGACATTGTTAGTAGCTTCCTGGCTTTCAGTTTTGGGCTCCATCCTCTGAACTGCAGGCAGCATCTCATAGTTATAACCCTAAGGAACTCACTGTTACATGTGGTCTTGTGAGTGAGTGCTCAGTCATGGCGAGTGCTTAGCTGCTTCAGCCTAACTCTTTGTGACCCCATGGACTGTAACCCGTCAGGCTCCTCTGGCCATGGGGATTCTCCAGGCAAGAATACTGGAGTGGGTTGCTATGCCCTCCTCCAGGGGATCTTCCCGACCCAGGATCGAACCCAGGTCTCCCGCATTGCAGGTGGATTCTTTACCATCTGAGCCACCAGGGAAGCCCAAGAATACTGGAGTGGGTAGCCTATCCCTTCTCCAGGGGATCTTCCTGACCCAGAAATCGAACCGGGGTCTCTTGCATTGCAGGCAGATTCTTTACCAACTGAGCTACCAGGGAAGCCCCTCCATTATGAGAGATGGAAGCAAAGTAGAATGGGTTGAGAGGAGCATGCCTGGGATGGCCCAGAAATGCGCGTTGTGTCTTGACTCTATTGCCATGAATTGGATTGAATGCTGGTGAGGCCACCCTGGGGGTGAGGGGATAGGCCAGTACAGTAAATCCCCTACCTTCGAATGAGTTCTGTTTCAAGAGCCAGCTTGTAAGCCCAATTTGTTCACTAAGTCCAACAAAGTTAGCCTAGGTGCCCAACTAACACAATCAGCTATATATAGGACTGTACTGTAATACTTTACACACAAGTAATACATAAAAAACAAACACAAAAAATAGAACATTTTTTAATCTCAAGTGCAGTACCTTGAAAAGCACTGTAGTATGGTACAACAGCTGGCACACAGGGGCTGGCATCGAGTGAACAGGCAAGAAGAGTTACTGACTGGAGAAGGGAGAGGAGGTGGGAGATGGTAGAGATGAAGGATCGTCAGCAACAGGAGATGGAGGGCAAGCTGCAATTTCACTCATGCCTGACATCACTGGACATATATATGCACATTGGCATCTTTGAAAGTTTGCAACTTGAAGGTTCGTATGTAGGGGCCTTATTGTACCTCCTAGAAACAGTGGCTCTTCTGCAGCCAAGAGCCAGCCTAACTCCCACCCTTCCTAGTGCCTCTTCCTGGCTCTCTTCTCCCTTCTTGTGTGTGTTAGTTGCTCAGTCATATCCAACTCTTTTTAACCCCATGGACTGTACCCCACCAGGCTCCTTTGTCCATGGGATTTCCCAGGCAAGAATACCAGAGTGGGTTGCCATTTCCTTCTCTAGTCTGCAAAATTTCCTTTCTACAACCTCTCCTCTCCTCTCTTACCTCTTCTCATCATCCCAGCTTCTCTTTTCTTTTTTCTTTTTAATACATTATTAGTTTTTATTGAGGTATAGTTGATTTATAATATAATAATATAATAATATATTAATTTCAGGTGTACAGCATAGCAATTCAGCATTTTCACAGATTATACTCCCTTGAAAGTTATTACAATAACAATAACTACTCCATATTATCAATTATCTTATCTTATTCACATTTCCCCAATTGTCTTAATATGATTTTAATAGTTTGTTTGAATCGAGATGCAAATAAATCCATACATTGCATTTGGCTAGTATGTTTCTTAAGTCTGTTAATCTATAGGTTTACTCTCCACTCATTTTTTTTCTTGTAATTTTTTGTCATTGTTGAAAAAAAAAATAAGAATTTCCCATAACCTGAACATTGCTTAGTGCATCCTCATGGTATGATTTCACATGTTCCTCTGTCCTCTGTATTCCCTGTAAATTGGTAGTTAGAGCTAGGCCAGTGCTGTCCAATAGAATATTTTGCAGCTACAGAAAATTTCTGTATCTGCACTGTCCAATATGGTAGCCACTAGCCACATGCAAATTTTGAGTTCCTGAGATGTGGCCAGTGTGACTGAGGAATTGGATTTGTAGTTTTATGTAGTTTTATGTTCATTTAAATATAGATGGGGTTGCAGTGAATTGGAAGATTGAGATTAATACACATACATTACTATATATATAATAGATAACTAATAAGGACTGTATAGCACAGGGAACTCTACTCAGTACTCTGTAATGGCCTGTATGGGAAAATAAACTAAAGAAGAGTGGATATGTATATGGATAACTAATTAACTTTGCTGTACACCTGAAACCAACGAGATTGTAAATCAACTATCGCTGTTGTTCAGTTGCTAAGTCATGTCCAACTCTTTGTAACCTCATGGACTATAGCATACCAGACTCCTCTGTCCTCCACTATCTCCTAGAGTTTGCTCAGATTTTTATCTATTTGAGTCAGTGATGCTATCTAACCATCTTATCCTCTGCCTCCCCTTTCTTCTTTTGCCTTCAATCTTTTTCAGCATCAGGGTCTTTTCCAGTGAGTCAGCTCTTTGCATCAGGTGGCCAAAGTATTGGAGCTTCAGCTTCAGTAACAGTCCTTCCAATGAATATTCAGGGTTGATTTCCTTAGGATTGACGGGCTTGATCTCCTTGTTATCCAAGGAACTCTCAAGAGTCTTCTTTAGCACCTTGATTTGAAAGCATCAATTCTTTAGCCCAATTAAAATATAGGTAGCCACATGTGGCTATTGACTACTCTAGTGGACAATGCAGATCTAGAGGCTTGATCAGATTCAGTTTTGTTTATTATCAAAACTACTTCAGGTACTTCCATCATCCACCACTGTATTTAGTCCAAATTTCTTTCTTTTTGTAATCAGTCTACCCTAGCTGTGTCTAAGCCTTTTATGCATGTCCCAACAGTCCACAGTGTGGCACTTGTGAGTCTGATCTCTTCTGAGGAGCCCACCAGAACCATGGACACAATTGGCTAGGACCCAGCTATACAGCAGTTTTTCCCTTCCTGTTTTGCTTGACTCTATTATGTTTCTTATAAAATCATGGAATTAGAACGTTTCTTCATTTTACAGGTGAAGAAAACAGAACAGGGAGAAGAGTAGGCTGCTTCTCAAAGCTGTGCTCCCCTCCTCAGTGAAGAGGCCTCCCTGAGAACCCCTTTGGAAGTAGGAGGGAGGGATGCAAAAGGTTATACAGCTAGTCAATGGCAGAACAGAGATAGCACTTAATTCTGTCTTCTGATGCCCACCCCAAGAGTTCTTTCAACACCAAATTCCATAATCGATTTGCTGATGCTGAACCATCCTTGCATTCCTGCAATAACTCCACTTGGCCATGTGTTTTAACATCTTATACACTGCTGATGAAAAAGTTGGGAAGTCATAATAACACAAACAAGAGGTTTATTATGTGCTAATCTGTAAAAGTGCTGCTGTGGAGAAGAACAGCAGGTGCCATTGGACATGGGGAGAGTTGGACCTGTTGGGAAAGCCAAGTAGGGACTAGATAGGCACGGGGAGTACAGAGATAGTTTCAGGCAAAAGAAACTGCTAAAAGATTAAGGATATAGAAGGAGAGAGGGCATGGCTTCTGTATAAAAACTAGGTTGGGGTGAGAGAGAGAATCAATGGTATTAACGATATTCTTTCATGTAAGAACATATTTATATATAAGAATACATTCTTGTGGAAACAACCCAAATACCATCAATGGAAAATGGATAAACAAAAATGTGATATAGTCATACAATAGAATATCATTTAGCTTGGAACTTCCCTGGTCCAGTGGCTGAGACATCCTGCTCCCAATGCAGGGGGTCTGGGTTACATCCCTGGTCAGGGAACTAGGTCCCACATGCTGCAACTAAAGAACCCATGTGCCACAACTAAGATCTGGTGCAGCCAAATAAAATAAATAAATAAAAATTCTTAAAAAGAATATCAGCCTTAAAAAGGAAGGAAATTCATACAACATTCATGAAACTTAAAGATGTCCTACTAAGTGAAATAAGCCAGGCACAAAAGGACATATTTATGATTCCAATTATATGAGATATCTAGAGTAGCCAGACTTATAAGACAGAAATTAGAATGGTGTACACAAAAATAAACTCAAAATGGATTAAAGATCTAAACATAAGACCAGAAACTATAAAACTCCTGGAGGAAAACATAGGGAAAACACTCTCCGACATAAATCACAGCAGGATCCTCTATGACCCACCTCCCAGAGTAATGGAAATAAAAGCAAACATAAACAAATGGGACCTAATTAAACTTAAAAGCTTTTGCACAATGAAGGAAACTATAAGCAAGGTGAAAAGACAGCCCTCAGATTGGGAGAAAATAATAGCAAATGAAGCAATGGACAAAGAATTAATCTAAAAAATGTACAAGCAACTCCTGCAGCTCAACTCCAGAAAACTAAATGACCCAATCAAAAAATGGGCCAAAGAACTAAACAGACATTTCTCCAAAGAAGACATACAGATGGCTAACAAACACATGAAAAGATGCTCAATAACACTCATTATCAGAGAAATGAAAATCAAAACCACAATGAGGTACCATTATACGCCAGTCAGGATGGCTGCTATCCAAAAGTCTACAAGCAATAAATGCTGGAGAGGGTGTGGAGAAAAGGGAACCCTCTTACACTGTTGGTGGGAATGCAAACTAGTACAGCCACTATGGAGAACAGTGTGGAGATTCCTTAAAAAACTGGAAATAAAACCGCCATATGACCCAGCAATCCCACTGCTGGGCATACACACCAAGAAAACCAGAATTGAAAGAGACATGTGTACCCCAGTATTCATCGCAGCACTGTTTATAATAGCCAGGGCATGGAAGCAACCAAGATGCCCATCAGCAGACGAATGGATAAGAAAGCTGTGTTATATATACACAATGGAATATTACTCAGCCATTAAAAAGAATACATTTGAATCAGTTCTAATGAGGTGGATGAAACTGGAGCCTATTATACAGAGTGAAGTAAGCCAGAATGATAAACACCAATACAGTATACTAATGCATATACATGGAATTTAGAAAGATGGTAACGATAACCCTATATGCAAGACAGCAAAAGAGACACAGATGTATAGGACAGTCTTTTGGACTCTGTGGGAGAAGGCAAGGATGGGATGATTTTAGAGAATAGCACTGAAACATGTATATTATCATATGTGAAATAGATCACCAGTCCAGGTTCGATGCATGAGACAAGCGCTCACGGCTGGTGCACTGGGATGACCCAGAGGGATGGGGTGGGGAGGGAGGTGGGAGGGGGGTCAGGACGGGGAACACACGTACACCCGTGGCTGATTCATGCGAATGTATGGCAAAACCACTACAATATTGTAAAGTAATTAGCCTCCAATTAAAATAAATAAATTTAAAAAAAAGAAATTAGAATGGTGGTTGCTAGGGTCTAGGGGAAGGGGTAAGTGGGGAGTTAGTGTTTTAAATGGTATAAAGTCTCAGTCTGGGAAGATGAAAAAGTTCTGGAAATGGATGGTGATGATGGTTGCACAACAATGCGAATGTACTTAATGCCTCTCAACTTTTAATATTTCATCAGTTCAGTTCAGTCACTCAGTCATGTCCAACTCTTTGCGACCCCATGGACTGCAGCACGCCAGGCTTCCCTGTCCATCACCAACTCCTGGAGCTTGCTCAAACTCATATCCATCGAGTCGGTGATGCCATCCAACCATCTCATCCTCTGTTGCCCCCTTCTCCTCCTGCTATTTCATACTTTATACATTTTTAAAAATGTAACATATTTTAGCACAATAAAAATTAAATAAAAATACATGCATTCTTATATATGGGAATATACGTGTATCTCCTGAGGAATATAAACCAGAGTGAGCAGGTGTTGTTTCTGGAAGGTGGCATGTGTTCTCAGTTACTCAGTCATGTCTGACTCTGCAATCCCACGGACTGTAATTCGCCAGGCTCCTCTGTCCATAAAATTCTCCAAGCAAGAATACCTGAATGGGTTGCCAT